TTTTTAGTCACTTTAAAGATTTTTTTTAGATATCTTTTAGTCGGTTTTAAGATTTCTTTTTAGTGCCGATCTACAATAGGTGGTTTAAGCCCTAAGCCTTAAGAAATTGACCAATCACAGTCAAGTATGAGGAGAATACTCAACTGTGATTAGTCAATTTCTTAAGGCTTAGGGCTTAAATTACTTATTGTAGACCGGCACTAAGATGTCCTAAACCAATCACAGAGCCGTATTAGCATCTTAAGACATTACTTAAGACGGTCTTGAAATAAGAACTGACTATGAATACCGGCCTTAAGTCTTACTGCTTAAGTTTTTCTATGTGCCACGGCCCTTAAATGTGAAAAGAATAATCGAATATGATTGGTTAATTTCTTACGGCTTAAAGCTTAAATTCTCATTGTAGACACCGCATATAAAGGGCGTTTTCCAGCAAGGTACACAGATGACACAGTGTATTACACATTATCATATGATTGGCTGTCAAATGAAGAAATTTAAAATATAGCCAATCGCGTGATAAAGCGGCGTCTACAATAGAGATTTTAAGGCCTAATCCTTAAGAAATTGACCAATCACAGTCAAGTATGAGGAAAATATTCGACTGTGATTAGTCAATTTCTTAAGGCTTAGGGCTTAAACCACCTATTGTAGATCGGCACTAAAAAGAAATCTTAAAACCGACTAAAAAATATCTAATAAAAATCTTTAAAGTGACTAAAAAGATGGATCATCGACATTCGCAAAAGATTGTGGAGATAAAGCGATAACCTGGGTCACGTTCTACGAGCTTAGCCGGCAGCTATAGACGTATAATCTAGGGACTTTCGGTTGCGACGTCGAGCAAGACGGTTCGAGTTGAGTGAGTTCTCTGGTTTGTGCCGATTTTGTGTCGAGTTGCTGCTTTTATAAATAGATCTGTTACATAACAGCTCTATCGAGAGCTCATATTTCCCGATCAGTATACTCGTTTACCACGTAGACTAACCAGGAGACCGTTTCAAGTAATAATCGGTCTGCTACGCACCGGGCCTTTGTCCGGCGCGGGCCGGCCATCTTGCACAATCTTTTCGCTCGCGAAACGCATTGTGCTGTGTTACTCTTTGTCAATGTTCTTTGACGTATTCTGCATCGAATCATCCCAGTGCACCGCTTTTACCTTTCGCCATAACCTAACTAACCAAATGAAACCATGCCGCCTCCGCGGGATAGAAGCTGGTTACCCGTAAAAAAAGGCTTTACCGCCAAGGACGATAGTGATTCTGAAACGCAAGAAGCAATTCTAAATATGATTGCCATCTCTGTTCCTCCACTGCCATGCGAGTCTCCGGACAGCGACATGGAGGCCGAGCCAACTCAAGAAAAATCTCTCACTTCACAGTCCAATCAGGAAAATAGTGTCGATAATAAACCCTTCTCGTCCGCCTCTAAAATCCCAAGAGATGCAAGTGCCCAAGGTTACACTAGTTCCTTTACCCTCAAGAGACAATTTCGAAAAACCCAAGACGAGGAAAATTCAGTTCCAAAAAAGCTCAATGCTTCGAAGCAGATCCCAGACGCTGTCTTAGCAAACAGATACACCAAGTCTTTACAAGGACCTTATGAAATTGTTGTTACGTCCATAGGATCAGTCAACTCCTCCATCCACCCTCTCACAGTGGGCCGTCTTCTCAGTTCCACTCTCAAAAAGGATATAACAGAAATCAAGAAACTAGGCTTCTCTAAAGTATCAGTCCAACTTTAAACGCGGGAGGCGGCAAACAGTCTAATCAACAATCCAATCCTCAATTCGAAAAACCTAATTGCCTATATTCCTTCTTACAGAGTATCGAGACAAGGAGTAATAAGAAATGTACCACTAGACCTCGCTGAAAATACTATTAAGGAAGAAATAGACAGCTCGGTTGGGATCATCTCCGTGCGGAGGCTCAACAGAAAGATCATTGATCCATCCACAAGATCGGTGAGCTACTCACCCTCCAAATCTATCGCAATTACTTTTGAAAGTCAGACAGTTCCGCAGTTCCTCTACTTGTATATGGTCAGATATGAAGTTTCTCTCTTGATCTCCAAGCCTTCTCTCTGCTACTCCTGTTATCGATATGGACACATAAAGTCCCAATGCAGAGGGCAGCCTCGATGTATCCTCTGTGGGGATAAATCCCATGATAATACCTCTCCTTGCCAAAAAATAAACCAACCCCCATCATGCATCAACTGCAAAGGCTCTCATAAGACAAGTGATCCTTCCTGTCCCGAATGGCTCTCACAAAAACAAATTCTCGAACTGGCCGCACACAAGAATATTCCCATCCTAGAAGCCAAAAAAATCATCCGCGGAAACAACACCAGTAAACTTAACCACATTGACTTCTCAAACTTCCCTGAGTTAAATAACTCTCCCACTCCAGACATCCCGTATACTTCCCTCTTCATTCTAAACAACATAATCGTAACCCCTCCCCCGGTACCAACCAACCCTTCCCTCCAAACTCATATCTTATCTCTCCGAACGGTCGTCTCCCATCACATCCCAACGGCATCGCCTTCCTCTCCCCCCTCCCCCACCCCCTTCTCCGACCTTCCCTCTTTCAATCACTCCCCTCCTCCTCTTAACTCCCCCGCTCCCCACTTCTTTCCTCCATCCCCAGAATTCCAGCCATCTTTCTCACCTTTGATACCACTCATAAAGACCATTCTGGAAAAGATTTACCCACTCCTAAAAGCTTTTGGAATTCAAGACGACCTATTTAAAATCCTCCAAGATCTTGACAATTCTTGCCTTCCCACACCCACGCTTCCTACTTCCTATGGTTCAATCTAACAAAAACGCAGCTTTAGATTCCTCTTCTCCCATCAAAATCTTACAACGGAACTGACACTCCTTCTCAACTAAAATTGACTTGCTCAGACCAATTACAAACGAATTCGAATACGATATCATCGAGCTATCTGAAACTTGGCTTAACCCAGATTCAGTTTTCTCTCTCCAAAATCGACGGCCAGGCCTTCATCCTCACAGGGGGAACTTTAGCTCTGCTAAAATGCCCCGACTACACACTCGATAACAAAACAGCAAACTCTTCTATTTCTACCGCTTCTCGAAGTTTGGGCAAAACCTTACTTTCTGCAAAACCCCTGAGTGACCTAAACTATCTAACCTGCGAAATCAAGGAAAGACTCAGAGCAGCCATGCTTTTGAATTGCAATGTTTCTGTAAATTGGATCCCTAGTCATTCGGGAATACTAGGGGGTGAAACGGCCGATTTACCCGCCAAAAGAGCCATCCGCACGGGGGAACCAGTTTCCGAACCCTTCCCTCACAGCGATTTTCACTCCTTGGCTCGTACTCACTGCATCTCTTCATCTGTCCGCGCTTTGACCACTCAATCCAATCTCAGAGGCAAACTAAACCTCAACCTGCACCCTTCCTCCTCTCCCAGGCCTTGGTTCCCAAAGCTTGGCCTCGACCGCGAAGAAATAGTCACTGCATGCCGCATCAGAAGTATTCACTACGACCTACACGCCAGACAATATCGCTGTAACATCACGTCCTTGCCTGCAAGGGAATGCGGACACTCATCTCAGGATATAAAACACACTCTAGGAACCTTTTTTAGACACCAAAATCATAGACTTTACCTGCTCAAGAAATTCTCATGCTTGGCCTCTTTCTTTAAAAAAAAAAAATATGCAATCTGAATATCCGAAGATATAACTCGACATAATCTCTGCAGAATTCCTGCAGAATCTCTGTCTTCACCATACATCGACTTGGCCGAATGGGCTAGTGTAGTCGGGCCCGGAGCCATTCAACAGAAGAAGAAGAAGAACTAAAAAGATGTCTAAGAGAAACCTGAAAGACTACTAAAAAATATCTAAAAAAAAAAACTTACTTGAATGTGAATAACAAGAATTCCACTATGTCTTCCACGTACCATTCTGGTAATGAGGTAAATTTGCACATAACTTCTTGAGATAACGAAAATTCGGAAAGAGTATTATTCGGAGCAGTCTGCGTTAAAAGATTCAGCAAAAATTCGGCGACCGATATATAAAAGCGTAAGCATCTTCTCAAAAAGGTGGGCTCTATCAGAACTACTTCTGCACATAATTTGAATGTAACCAGTTGCTTCAACTGTTGCTTCCATTGTTTGATCAAGTCTTTATTGTGCTCCGCTAAAGGACCATCTTTCCATTGAGATTCTGTAGCTTGCAGTTCGTCGAGCATTTTTTGTAAATCCTCTGAGGCATACAATTTTCTCCGATAATTTTGCAACGCCGGTAACAGCGCGATGTGATGACAATGCAGCGTGAGGAACCAACATTGTGTCGGAAACTTCGGTTCCGTCCATTTATGTGTGCTGTCCAAATGTTTCTGCCACTCCGCAACCTCTTGCGAAGTGAGTTTCAGTCTTGTGTCGTTCTTTATCTCGACGAAATTGGAAGGATGAAATGGATATAGCGGGTCTACAGTATCCAGCTTGATCTTCACAGAGAGCATTTGCAAAATCGATAGTAGATTCAACATAAATCCATCTCCGGCCAAAGAGGGATTGTCCTCCGTCTGTATTTGCACGCGTTTCTCGTTGTGACGTAGCAACGCCGCCAAGTACGCAAGAGTGGCATCGCGGCAGCTGCTATTCGCGAGTATCGTATCAAACATCTTGTGCAACAACGACATTCTCTTCGCCAACACTTGCTGATGTATGAGAGTCATCGATTTGTTCGTGATAGGATTTTTATTAAAAAATCCCTCTAGCAGTAGTTGTTGCATTTCGGCAGATACCAATGCCGAGAGAAACGGTCCCAGGAGTGAAGTTCTCGAGAGCTCTCTTCCGGCTGCTGATATCATAACATCAGGCAAGAATTGAATTTGATTCGTTATCAAACGGCAAATCGGATGTATATTGCTGTTTAGGCCACTGCGAATCTCTATCAGTTCGCCTAGCGCCTCGATCGGTCTTCTTTGCGTATTGCCGTAAAAGGTCGCGTTCTGTATCGCGCCATACAGGTCTTGCAAGACTGGAGTGAAAATTTTATTGAACATGTTCGGATTCGTGTGTGTCCTAGCCACGAGCTCGCGAAGATAGCCCAGAGGTAAGTTTTGCGATAATATCCGATAGAAAAAATGAATGGTCCAATGAGGTACGACAGCAGCTTGGCAAATGCCAATTAACCCTTGTAGAACGAGGCTGGAATACCAAACACATTGCGCTTTCAAACTTGTCAGTACATCGGAAAGAGGAGGTACACTGGATTGCTATAAAATATATAAAAAAGAATTAGTTTAATAAAATCTTGTCTAATTTTGAAGATGTGTGTGTGTGTGTGTGTGTGTATGTGCGTACCTTTCTATGATTTATTTCTTCAATTGCAATTCTTGAATAACAATCTAATAAATAAGTAAAACTTTTC